GAATCATTATCACAAAGGCTGCCTGTCGCGCGGGCTCCCCACCACTTCTCCCACCAACGAAACATTATCACAAAGGCTGCCTATCGCGCGGGCTCAGAACGCGCGAGCGGGCTAATGCAATGCCCATAGAGTAATAGAAAATCCGAGAAACACGACATTGATGGCATTTTTCGATCTATGTAATAACGACGAATTCGCAGCTTCTTTATTGTACGAAGAAATACCAGGTTATTATACATTTAATAAACAAAATGGAACATTTCAACGGCGACGTCGAGGTACTCCTGTGGAAGGTCATCCCGGCATATTTTATGAGCATACACTTGGGAGAATCTATACAATTCACCCCAATAATCGGGAATGTTATTATCTGAGGTTGTTATTAACATTTGTCAAAGGACCAACTTCTTTTGAAAGTCTCAAATGGGTGAATGGAATTTTACATCCTACATATCAAGCGGCATGTCTTGCTCTTGGCTTACTAGAAGGCGATAATCATTGGTTCGACACTTTAACAGATGCCAGTATAAGCAGCAACGCATCTAAATTACGAGAACTATTCGCCATTATTTTAGTTTTCTGCAATATCTCTAATCCCACAGAGTTATGGGACAAGTTCAAGGATCATTTTACAGATGATTATGTAAGAGATTTCCAACGGCATTACCCGAATGCAGACATAAATTCTCATTTAGACGTATTTACAAATAGAGCTTTGTTTGCATTACAAGACATTCTTCTTTCGATAGGCGGCAATTCTCTCCCTCATTATGGTTTACCATCTCCACAAGCGACTGATGGAATTGATGAAAATTTAAACAAAGAATATATTGAACATACAAATTTTGACCCAGTTGAACTTCAAAATACTATAAATCATAATGAACCACGACTAAACGATGAACAAAATCAAATTTACCGACTCCTCATTGATAAAATAAATGCAAATGCTGGTGGAGTGTATTTTTTAGACGCTCCAGGTGGTACCGGCAAAACATTTTTGATTAATCTTTTGCTAGCCAAAATACGTGCAGAAAAGAAGATTGCCATAGCAGTCGCATCGTCCGGCATAGCGGCAACCTTACTTCCTGGCGGAAAAACGGCACATTCTATGTTTAAAATCCCACTAGATTTAGACCGTACGGAAAATCCAGTCTGCAATATACCCAAAAATAGTCTCAAAGCCAAAGTACTACAAGATTGTGTATTTGTAGTATGGGACGAATGCACTATGGCAAACAAAATTTCTATAGAAGCCGTGAATAGGACGATGCAGGATATTAGAAGTAATAATCTATTATTTGGAGGAGTCGTATTCTTATTCGCTGGAGATTTTAGACAAATATTACCGGTTATAAGTAAGGGTACGCGAGCCGATGAAATTAACGCCTGTTTAAAACGTTCAGTACTTTGGAGACAGTGTAAAAAACTTAATTTAAAACAAAATATGAGAGCACATTCAGCTGATTCAGAATTTAGTACAATTCTTCTTGATGTTGGAGAGGGAAAGTGTCCAGAAGTGAATAGTAATCATGATATAGAACTACCTACCAGTCTTTGTCAGGTTGTGGCGGACACTGAAACTTTAATATATAGTATTTATGATGATATTCACAATCTCAATATCAAAGAAGATTCGTGGTTGTGTGACAGATCAATTTTAGCGCCTACGAACGACCAGGTTACTGCGCTTAATCAGTGCATTTTAGATAAGCTAACAGGTGAATCACAAACATATCTTTCCATCAATACAGTTTGCAATCCGGATGAAGTGGTTAATTACCCAACAGAATTTTTAAACAGTATAATTGTGCCTGGTCTACCCTCCCACAAACTAGAACTTAAAGTTGGCGTGCCCATCATGCTATTGCGTAATTTAAATCCGCCGAAACTTTGCAATGGTACTAGGTTGCGAGTAGTGTCGTTGCAAAGAAACGTTATAGAAGGTCGTATAATATCCGGATGCGGCAGAGGTGAAATAGTATTTATACCACGGATTCCTTTAATACCATCAAATTTGCCATTTGAATTCAAAAGATTGCAATTCCCGATCAATGTCAGTTTTGCTATGACAATCAACAAGTCCCAAGGACAAACGTTAAGTAAAGCTGGTATAGATTAAACAAAAGGTTGCTTTACCCATGGGCAACTATACGTGGCATGTTCACGTGCGAGGAATGCCAGTAGCGTTGTTGTTTTAGCCCAAGAAAATCGTACACCAAATATTGTATATAAAGAAATTTTTCAATAAAGCTAATACAAAAAACTGAAAATAAATGATAACTAAAATAAAAAAATAAAAAATAAACGAATTAATTTTTTTGTTAAATTCCACGCGGACGAAGTCGCGGGCACAGCTAGTAAAGAATATTATTTAGACACCACTGACCAACAGTGAAGGAAAACATCGAGAGGCTTATAATTTCTAATCATAAGTTTGAAATCGGCAACCCACATTGAGCAAACGTGGTGATTAATGCTCTAACCTTCTCCATGTGAGATGAGGCTTTGCTCAGCAGTGGGCAATTATAAGCTGTTAATGATGAAAGAATATTCCACTCATACATACAACATACGTGCGAAAGACAATACCTTTCCTACAGTCGAGTAAAAAGTAAGCTACTCACGTCGACTTTTCCTTGTTTGACCAGGTATTCAGGTGTCTCTGGCATGGCGAGGAAGATGAAGAAGATCACTGTGGGCACCAGTAGACCGAGCCATAGCATTGTGTTGACGCTCAGCACATCTGCTCCAATGTAGCTCATCAGGTAACCGATGTTTCTGAAAGATTACAAATGATATTATAGGTGTTATTTTTAGGCATGTGTCCATACAAAATCAATGTTTATAACGTCTCGACGTCTCGTCATTTGAGCTAGGCCGGATAACTAGGCAGAGGAGCATATTTTACACCGCGGAGCCCTTAACGGGTTGCCGGGGGAGGGCGGGACTCCGGCAAAATAGAAACAAAAAAATGTTAAGTCCTAAAACTTTAATTCTACGCGGACAAAATCAAACAGCTAGTTTCAAATAACTAGATCTAGAAACTAAGGAAGAATGGGCGCAGTAGGTGATTCGAATAAGTAGGTAGATATGTCTCAGCTTATCCATTTAAACAAAAAGGCATGATTAGGTTTTCTACAATGTAGATACCTACTACACAATAATAATGATTAGGTATTCTCTAAGCGAAGCGGTCTCATCGTTACGTCATCAAATAATCTGGTCAAGTCTGTTCGTTGAACTGTTCGGTGTAAACAAAGTGATGCATTTGTTGTTGCTTATTATGTTAAAAAGGTGAAATAATTCTTTATTAATGGATAGGTAGAGGTCTTATTTACAAGAACGAATAAAGACAAAATCTACAGTTTCATATTTGTGTACCAGTTGTGTGGTAACAGCTATTCAGATAAATGGATGATGGTATAGAAAACCTAACATTTTGATAGACAAGTACTTAGTTATTGAATTAATGATACTATGAATGGAGTATGATTAGGCGAGAATAAGTGTCAGAGTCTTACTGACTAAGAACCACCCCGTTCCTACTCCTGCTCTTCGAGCCGGAGCCCGTTAGGCTTTCCGCGGCTCCGTATCGGTGTATAGTGTATGATAAAATGGAATAGTAAGTAATGCAGGCCTCAGAAATGCATAAAGTTTTAATCAACACATCTGTTATTTAAATCAGACTCCACAAACTGCAAAGTTTATGGTTTTTTCGGTATCACACACAAATACACACACACTTCAAATTCTAGAATGGTACTATTCTAGATGAAGATAACTTGTTAAGCAGGTTTACTGGTATACATAGTACGAATTATTTACTAGAATTTGCAGTAACAAACGAGATGCATACATAACGTCACTTCTTTTTTTAATCCGTTGCAAACAGGTATGCAAAGGTGTACATACCTACTATAGGTACTTGTACAATGTACTGCCCCACTTTTAACAAAGAGTTCTAAATCTGACCAATATTATAAATGCGATAAGTTATGAGACTGTGTGTGTATGTTTTGTTCCCAAATCACGTCAAAACGGCTCAAGGGATCGGGATGTAATTCGGAAAATGGCTAGATTACGGTCTTGAATAACACACAGGATTTTTTTTATCCAACGGGAACGTGGGCAATGACGCCGGTAGAAACTAGTTACGTTATGTGCCTGATACAAAAGGTGGTGAGTCTATTGCCAACTACTGAATCCACTTCCAGACTCTGTGCAACCTCTCGATTAATGAGACCGAATTTCTAAATAATATAACAACAGACACCCTATAAAGTGATAGAAAGGCCTTGATTTCGATCTCCCACCAAACATAATGTTACTAAATTTTTCGTTTTTCGTACTACATACCATGTCACGTAGTCTAGAAATTGCAAGTGTGGGAGAGCCATGCTTCGGCACGAATGGGCCGGCTCGACCGGAGCGAAACCACGGCCTCACAGAAAACCGACGTGAAACAACGCTTGCGTTGTGTTTCGTCATGTGAGTGAGGTTATCGGTGGCCCAATTACCCCTCCTCCCCAGTCTCGTCAATCCCCGAATCCCCCACAATCCTCAAATTCCCAATTGCCAAAAGGCCGGTAACGCACTTGTGGTGTTCCAGGTGTCCATGGGCGGCGTCGATTGCTTACCATCAGATGATCCGTCTGCTCGTTTACCGGCTTATACCATAAAAAAAGAATTGACCCTTCATTACAAGACTGGCGAAAAACGTGTAGCATTAACGTAAAATTTGCATCTCTGCCTACCCCTTTATTCCTTAACAGGCATAACATTGTGTTATGTAAATTACGTACACAGTTGAAGGCTACACAGCTCATGGCTCAGGAAAATATGAGAACAAACGTAAGTACTGACTTTAATTAAATCATGTAATGAATTAATTTATAGATGATCAATGATTATTTAATTTTCCTACCATCGTAGTCTCGATCCTTGGTTGCGATTATTTTGTTTATTATTATATTACTTATGTCCCTAATGTTATTTATAAAGTTCTTTTTTGTATTGTAACTTTCGTGAGACATACTAAATAAATTATTATGTTTTGTCTGAGCAGCAGCGCATCAGTCGCCGCGTCGTGGGTCGCGAAATGCTGCTCATGAATATGAGCCTCTAGCATTGCTTGAAACTAGTCGAGTTCCTCGTCGAATCACTACGTAAGTAAGCCGAAAACATAATAATTTATATAAAGTTCTTATTAAATATCTGGGTAAAAAGATCATTTTCATTAGACTGTAAAGGAAATTCAGAAACCTGTCTTTCCAGTCTCCTTTATCATCCTAACAATTTCTGTGCGAAAAAATCATAATATCATAGAATCGCTCCGCTGCAATGTGACAGTAAGATGAACAAACACACTTTCGAATAGTTTTTAAATTAGTAAAGAAGGAAATAAAAATAAGAATATACGTACGTTTATTTTTACTGTATTTATAATTCCAGACTGCCTCATTGGCCGAGTGGTCGCAGGTGCGATTGCCGGGCAAGGGGTCTCGGGTTCGATTCCCGGGTCGGGCAAAGTATTACTGGGTTTTTACAAAATTCTCAGTAGTAGCACGCAGTCTGGAATTGTGCCCGGTATATGGCAATAGGCTCACCCCCTATTACATGGGACTCATAACATAAATAGTGAAAAGTGGGTGTTACATTGTACAGTGGCATAATGTGCACCTCTGCCTACCCCTTCGGGGATAAAAGGCGTGATGTTATGTTATGTAATATACGTACGTACATAAATACGCTTGCGTTGTGTTTCGTCATGTGAATGAGGTTACCACAGGCCCAATCACCATTCCACCTTCCCCAATCTCCCCAATCTCTGAATCCCCAACAATACTCAAATTCTTGATCCCCAAAAGGCCAATAACGTACTTGTAACGCCGCGGATTGCTTACCATCAGGTGATCCTTCTGCTCGTTTACCGGCTTAGCCCATAAAAAAGCCAATAGAAAGTAAGGAAGTGTCCGAGTGAACCTCAAGTAAATTCAGATAACCGCAGGAAGAAGAAGTTTACTAACTTACCTATTTAAAATGAGAAGAGATCCCAAGGCCCCTCGTAGGTCAATATCGCTGATCTCCTTCAGATATATGGGGAGGACGATGTAGCAAGAGGAGCAAGGTATACCGGCGACTGCACGGGCTAAGATCAATGCCCACGGTTCCAGACTTAGCAGCTTGATCTGCCAGTAGATCTGTGGATTGGAGAAATGATATTAGAATTAAGAGTGGGTACAAAACATATGCAAACAAAAAGTTTATGTTTCCAAAATCGTAGGTAAACGTAGCCTGGAGCGCCTTCAAGATGAGCACAGTGACGATATTAGCGATGTAACTTGTAGTAGTTGAATCCGAAGAGCTGATGATGGAACTGGAGGGGTCTATATAAGTCTTGCAGTAGACAGTACGTGTCATTAATTTTAACGGTTGTTTATTATTAGAAGTTGGATTACCCAATGACTGTTGATACATTTAAAAATGTTCGTGATGCTACAATTAATCTACAGGTAGAATGTGAATACCCTATTTAATGTAACATGAATAAAATTACAACGTAATACTAATTAATCAGCAAATAAAACAAAAGTAACGCTAGAACTACGTTAGAATATATTATTATAAGTCCTAGTTGGGTCTTTCTTCGTAGTAATAATTCAACCTATCATAGAAATGTAGGACATTTACTTGGTATAGCGTGCGTTAACTATAAGACAAAGTATAATTACATTTAAATAAACACAAAAGGCAATAAAACTTATACTGCAGAACTTATTAATAAAGATTTTGGTATTAGATAAATATTTATATTTCAGTATAAACAATTATAAAGGTGATAAAGAATGACTGAGTGAATTGCAACGTACACTTAAGACGTACGTGACAATTGGACTATCGAGAGAGGTTCAGAACTGTCAAAAATTTCATAATAAGTTACTTCGAGTAAAATAATATAACACAAATTACAATGTGAATTAAGTGAAAACAGCAGTCAAATAATCAATTCTCAGCAGATAATTAACATCTAGAAAATATGAAACAATTATTACTATACTAAATAAATGATCCCAATGATAAAAACCTGCAAATAAAATACTTGGAATATAAAAAAAGACAACTCAAGCCAGAAGAAGAAGATATACAATACAATGTAACTAATGATAGGAAGGAAGGAAATGATAAAGTTCAATACACTTAATTTTTTTTAGCACCCAAGTTTCATGCTTCAATTAATTTCAATAGCGTCACCCATTATTTGTTAACGAGAAGAATAAGATGTACAAAAAATGGATCGGAATTTTTCTCGCAACGTTTTTTGGATTTGTCTAAGGCCTTTGACAGTGTTAATCAAGTGATTGTGTTGATTGTTTGTAAAAAAAAACATTTGTTTAGTATGGGGATTGAAATGTAGCTACAGTACTGTTCTGTAAAAGTAATTCGCAGCACAGATTTAGGGCTTGTGCCTTTTCCTTTTTAAGGGGGTTTTGGTCTATATGAATACGTCAACCTTAGTGTACCTTATTACCTAATTTAATGAATAATACATGAAAGGGAATCATTAAGTAAGTCTAGATCGTAGACAGGTTATGTCACCCTCACCGGTTCATACAACCCCTGTACAATCTTCGTAACTTGTGACTTATTTGTAATTAAATAGTAAATTTAAATATTGAGTAAGAGGTCTTAGATTGAGATTTAATCTGGATAGAATTTCTGTATGAATTAGAATATTACAAAATGTAACCATCGAATCATTTAACGAAAGTATAAGAGGCTGAGCATAGAAGTTTTTGTTTTTAGAAAGTTCTAGAATATTTATGGAAATAGACGTTCAATGCGAGAAAGTTTTTAATTATAAATAAGTGAGATGATTTTAAAATAGCTGATGCACTAATAGCAAATAGTTTATTGAGGAAAATGACAATATTTCGTGATTCCAAGTCCTAAACCACAATCGACTGGAAAAACCTGATATTGGCCATTTGCCCCAAAACTTTGTTCTTCTATTTTTATGGGGATTTCAGACTTTTTTTAATATCTTGATGTGAATTAGCATAAGATTAACACACAATTGTTATTTTCCGGACATAAGCAAAAGTTTACTTTTGTGTTCCTACTTTTATTAGACGCATTCTATTTTAATGGCGGATCCAGTTCATACTTGAGGTTTCTTCCTAGTTTACATCAACCACATGATTAACGAGATATTCATTAAAAAAAGTTTTGGGATTTCGTCACACCAAGCAACGTGTGATATCATCAATCAAAAGAGTGTCATTTATTTATTTACCACGTCACATTATTGAACATCTAGTTATCGTAATAAGGTGCTAAATAAATACAGATATGCCTTAATTTTGGGCATGAGCAACATTAGCTGAAAGGTGCTAACTCTATCCTATTTTGGTTCATACAACAATCTGTGCTAATAATTTTGCAGTTCATTATATATTTTTGATAAATAATGACGTCAGTTTTGTGTTCTATGCCGGCATTTGCATGGGAGTAACAGAAAGTTGAACTGAATCATAAAAGTCTAAATAATTTAGGACCCTATGTTTTTGTTTTTCATTTTTACTGATTTCATTGTCATAGGTTAGTAGATTTATTATAGTGTCAACGAACACAGTTGTCTCTTTAGCTTTACTATTAGTAATTTTCTTTTCATCTTGCCCTTGTCATAAGTTACTTGAGGTTCGCACAATATGTCTATCCTTTCCTCTAAACCTATCAGACCTTACCACAAAGGACTTCTTTTGTATTTTTTTCATTTAAATATACATGGCTGTGTTACTAGCTTCTACATTACATATCAAAGTTCAAACCAAGTTCAGATGAAATGAAGCTAATTTTAGAATTCCATGTTTGCTTCAACTGGTCCAATCGGCAGTTCACCTGCAGTTGGATTTGCATTTATTATTATTTTATCCTCATATAACTAGATACAGCTACAACACGTACCTATGAATTTTATTTCAAATTATGACCTCTGAGTTAATGGAAACGATACTTTTTCCCAGTCATCATCAACAGCCTATAAATGCCCACTGCTGAGCAAAGCCTCTTCTCACACGGAGAAGGTTAGAGCGTTAATCACCACGCTACGCTACGCTTTTTCCCAGTGCAGATAGGCAATGCCCAATAAGTTATTTTTTTCGTTAGTTAATTGTTCTTTCTCTCGCATAGACAAATATATTTTATGTGCTTTCTCATTTTTGAGAAGTCATAAGCGCAACTGCATATAAGTGAGTAATTCTACTTTAACTCGTCGAGTACCGTCATTATAGACAATATTATAGAACAATAGGTTGCGGTCACCGGTGACCGCTTGGTGTTTGACAGTTTAAATCGAAGAATAGTTTAGTTATCACAAGGTCTTTTAATTTCCAAATTCAATAACACGTAGACACGTCTTTGTCGAAAATTTTGCAATAAATTGCTTCGGGACACTTTAAAAATAAGACTATAAAGTCACTTTAATTTTCAAAAATTATGCGAAATCAATGCTACGTTATTTCTCTAAGCACCTTTAGGGACTCAAATACAATAAACCTCATAGCATTATTACATTTTGTAAATAAATTGTTCTACAGTAAACTACTCCTTGACACCTAACCTTGCATTCAACTGATAGCAAGCAAAAAGGGTCTAATTTGGTGTCAATGCAATGTTATCGAAATGATACCGGATTTCCTAAGTATACAGTTACGTGGTAAATATTCTTTGTTTTTATAAGAACTCGCGGAGAACCTAACGGGTAACCGGGGCTCCGGCTCGACGTGCAGGGGAAGGAACGGGGTGGTTTTTAGTCAGTAAGAGTCTGACACTCCTTCAAGCCTCACCCAGGCGGGAGAAGTCATTCGATGTTTTTCCCTCCTTAAAAAAAATCGTGAGACATACTAAATTACATAAAAATCGCAGGTTACTCACGTTGAAAATACTGAGAAAAGCTCTACTAGTTTCGAACCACAGAGGTGTTCTTCCTCATGAGCAGTGTACGCGGTCGCGGCGATGTCATGCACACAGCCTACACGATATCGCCGATAACATATTTTTAGTAATTCTTTGTTTTTAACTGAACTAATGATGTGATTGGCAAAATGCTTTTGTTGCTGATAGGAAATTGATTGGGTTCAAGGTCATGAACTTGTAAATGATTAATTCGAATGTAGTGTCAATATCAACACCTGGACATAAAATGATTTGTTTCAGTTTCCAAGTTTTGCAGGCGGTTAGAGGTTGCAGTTTAAAAGAGTAAGGTACAACAGTTTAAGTGTGGGAGAGCCATGCTTCGGCACGAATGGGCCGGCTCGACCGGAGTGATACCACGGCCTCACAGGAAACCGACGTGAGGCAACGCTTGCGTTGTGTTTTGTCGTGTGAGTGAGGTTACCGGAGGCCCAAACAAAGAGCGCTAAGCACCCTGGTCCTTGTCAAAAATGTATAGCTGTAAGTCTTTATTAGGCCTATAGTCTACGTAGCGTCATTCGTCAACAATGATAGGCGGACTTGACGTTGCCGCTTCTTGGACAGTTTTCATTGTTTCTAAGCAGCAAGCATTTGTCAATTGTTGGCTGCCTATTGTTTGTGAAAGATGTCTATGGTGCCATTGCAACGTGTACAGTTACCCTATGAGTTATCGCACATAGGTATGGCACTGATCACGTTCAGGTTTGACAGAAAGCATCATCGTCATTGTCAAAATGTGTCGTGAGAAAAGTGGGGGTTGAGTCAAATATGTTCCACGTACTGACGAACTACATGGCGTACCACACGCCTTATAATAGTATATGAAGTACCTATATTACATTTTACATAAAATATTTATACTTATGTCGTCACCTCACCGAGACTTTGTCCGTCTCACGTAATTGATATTGTTATTGTAATTAGTAGCACTAAAACAGGTCTTGCGATAATTACAGTACTATCAAATTAACTCATAAAGGTAATGTGTGAGCTACAATTGTTTTCAACTAAAATTGCTCATTTTGTGGTTTCATTAGACGCTTTGAAATGTTCAATGTGAACATTTATTTATGCTTCAAATAGGAAGATAAAGATCATAGAAATTAAATGTTATACAATATTTTCGCTACTTAGCTATTTATAAGACTCCTGTAATATCTATGGAGTGAGCCTATTGCCATACATTTTTTTTTTTTTTTTTTTAAAAACGTTGCCCCACACTAGGATTTTCTCCTGTGTCGTGGGTGCGTTTACAAACATACAAGTTCACATACACAATGACACCCAGACCCGAAACAACAATTTGTGGATCACACAAAGTGTTGTTCCGTGCGGGAATCGAACCCGCGACACGTTGCACGGCAGCCGGTTGCCCAGCCACCGCACCAACCGTGCAGTCTAATACATAGTCTTATACATTGGGCACAGAGTCTAAAATTCAGAGTCCAACTACGTTAAAAATCGACTAAGTTGTGAACCGTTACATAACACTTTATTGTTAGTTTAGTACTAGATGGACTAAGGGTATCTGTCCACGCATGCATGCATGACGAATGCATGCATAAGTCAAGTAATGCATCGTGGACAGGACACATCATTGGCCTGTGCGGTAGCTGTTGTAACCTATGTAATGGAATTTAGTAATAAAGGTCACAGGGGACCGTTGGATACAGGTCGAATTAAAGTTATTGGGGATATGAAGATCATCATCATCATTAACAGCTTGTTCTCGTCCACTGTTAGACATAGGCCTCTCTAATGGCACGCCATTGAACTCGAATTTCATGAAGATAAATAAGATTAATTACCTATATAGGTGCTGAATATTTTCTAAAGATGGTCTGATAACGTATTTAAAAAGTAACATTAAATTCTAACAGACAACGTAACTTTCTAAACCTAAATCTTGCATCTAGAACGCTCTTCAGTTCCTAAATGCGCAGAAAATTTTGTTCTAGCATATAATTATTTTATTATTGTATATTTTTCCAGCATAGTCTTTAATTACTGACAACTTGTGGGTGTTAGTGGGAAAACCACAAAACTTTGTACCTATAACTTGTATTTTGATTCTCAAAATTACATTTTACGCTACCTACGTAAATAAATGAAACGTCACACTTTTTTATTCACGGCGCCATTTTTATTAGAATATTATGCAACTCGTCTTTTTGTTACGTTGTAAACAGATGTTAGAGGTAAATGTAAAACTCATTTTTCATCAATTATAATATCAAAAAAGAAGGGCCAAATTAAAAGTACCCTTAATCGATGAGCATGCATGAAAAGACTGATAACTTTGTTTTTTTTAAAAAAAAACGTTGCCCCGTAATAGGACTTTCTCCTGTATCGTGGGTGCGTTTACAAACATACAAGTTCACATACACATACAACCAATTGCCCGACCACTGCGCCAACCGTGAAGTCTGTTGATAACTGTTTATGAAGCGAAAGACGTATGTAATAATCGTAGCAATTGGCGTTCCATAGTCTCTGTCTACCCCCTATCTTCCCAATCTTAGAATCCCCAACAATCCTCAATTTCCTTAACCCAAAAATGCCGAGTCGATTGCTTATTATCACCATCAGGATCACATGATGGTGATCGGAGAGACGGATCTCTGTTGCTCGTTTACAGGCTTATCAATAAAAAAAAAGTCTGGATCCATCTTAGTTGTAGACAGATATTTTATGGAACTAATTTCAAAAACGATCACAGTCAACCAGTCTATAGATATGGGATTGCGAACGCTATTCTTTCTTCGTTCGTTACTCTTTAATTTATTTACGATACTTGACAAACGAACACTAAGTTCACACATTATTTCTCAACTTCCCATAGAACCCGACCCTATTGGTGTTGGTGACGTCACAAATATTCACCTAATTGTCAAGTAATCACCATGAACAAATTAACGGGCTTGTAACGCAAATTCGACTTTTATCGGAAACCGTATAATTTTATTTCATTAACCGTACACCCTTATCAGTGCATACTGAATTAAATTGTGAGTATGCCTGATAAAGCAGGCAAGTTCATAATCTTGTAATTAGGAATTTGTCAAGGCGAGCCAGTAGCCCGTCATATGGTTGGCTTTTATGAATTACGAATTCGATTCGGCGGTGATTAGACTCGTATTTTATGCGATTTAAGGTTCATTTTTAAGTTATATCGTATGCTGTCTCTTTGAGAGGTGGTCTTAGTTTGTGGTGTTGTCAGCCTGTGATAGTCTACTGCAGCCTACGTTAAGACCTTTTGCATACACTTGGCAAACCGAGGAGCTTGCATATGCTTTTTACCAATAGACTAACAAGACAATGAACACTTTCATTTTCCAAAAACCAAACTGAGTCGATTTTTGTATAGAACTCGAAATCTCAATAACCGAGATAAAGGGGTTAGACGAATAGACGACAGACCCGAGCGTACGGCGCGTCGCGTTCCGCAAGCGCCTCAAAGAGCCATCAGATCACCACGGATGGGGCCCAATAGGGCTGATGCCGATTCGGAGCCGCGGAGAACTTAACGGGTTACCGGGTCTCCGGCTCAAAGTGGAGGAGAAGGAACGAAGTGGTTGTTAGTCAGTAAGAGTCTGACACTCCCTCCCGCTTCACCCAGACTGGAGAAGTCATTCGATGATTTTCCCCCCTTATAAAAATAAAGACGAATAGACGACACAAAACATAATAGAAAAGTTGCACTTACAATTAACGACAGAGTTGTCACTAGGGTCATCAGTTTTCTTCCAAATCTATCGGTTAGATACCCCATTGGAGCTCCAAAGATGATGGCTGTGATGTAAGTGACTGAGGCCATCCAGGAGATGTCAGAACTGGTGTAAGGCTTCGGTGAGGGTCCATCATCAGACTGTAGCACTGATATCATAGGCGACAACCACCCTTGCACCATACCGAAGCTTAGCAGCGGAATTGTAACTAAGGGACAAGAAGAAAAATAATCTGTTAGACATAAGGATACTGATAACAATTCTTTGGCTGGAGTAATGTAATAGTTGAAAGGGTCAAAATGAAGGGGAACAAGGAATGATGAGGAAAGTACAGATGGATATAATAATTTGAAAGGTTCAGTTTTATCAGCTTAGCTATTGCTGCCTGGTCACTGTCAAATGTGTTATGGGGTTGTCGACCTTGAGATACTCGTGGCAGGTATGCGTGGTGACAAAAATACTATTCTGAAGTCACTATACGACTGTCATAAATTATGTTAATGATTTCTTTGTTTGCATACCCATGCAAAAAAAGTAAATCTTACTTTGATGACTTTGGGTGTTTCTATGTAAGTGCTTAAATTATCGATGTCTTCTTAGAATTGCTACAGTGATTGGACTAAACGATTAAGAATAAATAAGACAATAAAATGTATAATTTTCAAAAGCTGCAAGCGCTGATAAATTGATTCTCGTTCGTGCATTAATTGAATTATGGTTTAATTTAAAATGCACTGTTATAATTGTGAGGGAAGTTAAGGGTACCTAAACCACCACAGCACCAGGTTATTAGACAATCGAAAAAGGTATTTACTAATGGAGATACGTAAGGTCGCGAAATACTGCTCATGAATATGGGCCTTTAGTATGGCTTGAAACTAGTAGAGTTCCTCGTCAAATTATAACGTGAGCAAGCCGAAAACATAATAATTTATTGAGATACGTAAGGTTTAAAATTAAAAAGTTTACATACAAAATAAAACAAAATACCAAAGACAACGAATTTACAGCTCGTATTATAGACGATTTGATTTCGGTATAATTTTGATTTCGGCAAAAAATGGCCAAAGATTGGCATATGGAATGTGTACCTACAAGTTTCTTTTACAGGTCTATGTTTATACATATATATGTGTTGTACTATATCAATAAATAATTACTATATTTATGAATCGAAACTAAACTAGTCAATCAATTATTATATAAGAACTTAGAAATAAATCTAAATTGCTTTTATAAAAAATACGGAAGATGAAGTTTATTTTACGATAGGAATCTTTTAATTATCTTAAAACTTGCTTTTACCCGCGGCTTCGCTCGCGTCACAAAAGAATAAAAAGTAGCTTATGTGACATATACTTACTTTTGTTTTCCCTCGGATATCATATTAAATATCAATATCAATTTTTTTCGGGGTAAAAAGTACCCTATTATTTAAACCGGACTTCTAACTTTACGTCTGCAAAAATTACGGCGTGAAAGCAGAACAAACAAACAAACTCACTTTCCGATTTATAATATTAGTAAGGATAAGGATAACATACATAACGTCACCGAAGGTGTAGCAGAGGTGCATACTACGGCACTTAATGCCACTGTACAATGTAACACCCACTTTTCACTATTTATGTTATAAGTCCCATTTAATAGGGGGTAAGCCTATTGTCACATACCGGGCACAATTCCAGACTCAGTGCTACTACTGGGATTTTTTTTAAAACCCAGTAATATTTTGCCCGACCCACGAATCGAACCCGAGATACCTTGCCGCCAGTCGCACTTGCGACCACTCGGTCAACGAGGCAATGTATTTCATTACCATATCTTAAAATATATTTTATTAATTGACCTGTTAAGGTGTGATACCTGAATTGAACATAATGGGGTTTATTTATTGAGTTAGAATGGGATTCATTCTCATTTCTAACCGGCCGATCTGAAAGTCATTGTCTGTGGTCAATAGTGGACATCTTGCAGATTACATTACGAAGATGATGAAAACTAATTTGGAAATTCATAAACACAGCTAGGTCATAACTTTTTATGTCTTTTAATAAAATTGGTTAATGGGATCTAATACGGTGATTTTGAGGGCTTAAATAAAATAAAACCCAACGAAAAGTGAACAGTAGAAAAGCAACGAAAAATACTGCGGGGAATAACTGATACCTATGGTAATTAGAGTTAAAAATATGCATCTAATATGCGTCATCAATAATAGTATTGTTTAGTTTCTTTAAGTGTGGGAGAGCCATGCTTCGGCACGAATGGGCCGGTTCAACCGGAGTGATACCATGGCCTTACAGAAAACCGACGTGAAGCAACGCTTGCGTTGTGTTTCGTCGTGTGAGTGAGGTTACCGGAGGCCCAATTACCTACCCCTTCCCCAATCTCCCCAATTCGTGAATCCCCAATGATCCTCATACTCCCAATCCCCAAAAGGCCGGTAACGCACTTGTAACGCCTCAGATGTTCCAGGTGTCCATGGGCGACGCGGATTGCTTACCATCAGGTGATCTGTCTGCTCGTTTACCGGCCATTAAAAAAATAGTTTTGTCATGATTGTGTTTACAAATATGTGTTTGTGTAAACAAAGGCAAAATTAATTTGTCACAGGTAAAATATATTTTTGATGTTAAACAATAATTTGTTGTTCATTTTATTATGAATGGAACCAGAATTCAAATCAGTTTCAACGTAGAAGGTCACGCAAGGTTGCACATGGATATAGTAAACAAAATAGCAGAAGGTTCATATTACGCAAAGTCAAAATCACTGGTCAATTTTGAACGACAAAACAGATTTTTTTTTAAATATTTTTTATAGAATGTTGAAATATTAAAAAAGTCAGTCTGTCAGTATGTCCTCTGATGAAGCTATTTGCTCGTTCCAAATTGTACATAACTATAGAGAAGAATGAACAACAAACTCTATAGGTTACTCTTTTTCAATCAGGTTCCATGTCATATGAATAGGTTACGGTTTTATTAACTTTGAGTGAGTAATGTTACGCAGATTTTTTTGTTTGTTTTTTTTTGCTTCAAGTATTATTTTACTAGTCATTTCCAAAATCTAGGTAATAAGTTTATCTAAACATATTGTTTTGGTTGCTTTATTAATTTAACAGAAAACGCTGCAGTGTATCGTACGAGGTCTGTTCGAAATAGTCTGGTAATATTTTTTCATACCAATTGCTTATTACGGTTTCTCGATTCTTATGTAATCGACATGTCTTTTTTAGCTTTTGAGAATTTCCAACACTGTTACATAGGAGCCAGCGTACAACCTATCGTTTCGACCAGATTAAATTTTGAGATATTGTCAAGAGTTAGACTTCTGCATTTTATTGCAGAGTCCCAATGTTATGATCACTACCTGACTTTTGTTTATATACATATATAGAACCTTATAAATACATACATAAGTTACATAATCCTGTATTTATTTATACATACAGTAATAGGTTAATTGTTTAATTTCGAAACTGCAAATATTTAAATCAATATTTAAACATGTTTGTTCTTTCGTAAATCAAAGAAATAGCATATAATATTAGTCGCAAAGTTTATATTAATTAATAAATCCATAATTTATAGATAAATCAAATAATCACCAATATTTTTATACACGACTAGCAGCCCGTCCCGGCTTCGCACGGGCCACAATTATTTATTTTTGGAAATTTGGATTGTTGTAGTGACATAACTACAATAGTTGGACATATGCTACCGCGGAGTTTTTTGTAGACATTATGATGTTCTTCAATATTGTGGTACATTCTTTTGTACTATCGCTAATAGTTTCTGCAGCGCATTCGACGAAAGACATTTTAAGACTCATTTTTCTACACCTTCGGTTACACTGTTCAAATTTTACCAAGGATCCCTAATTTTTTTCAAAATGAAATGTAGCCTTTTTCAAATTGGAAGAATGTAGCATTCTATTGGTGAAAGAATTTTTTAAATCGGCCCAGTACTTTTTGAGCCTATTCATTACAAACATACAAAAATAGGTACAAGTCTTTCCTCTTTATAATATTAGTATAAAAGGCGTGCCGTTATGTCAAAATAAAACAACGTTACGAAAAAATGTATCTAAGATGTGACATCTATAGCACCTACTAGATATTGACGAGATTTTCAAAAGATATGAAAATTATCTCTAAATACACTCATCGTGTACGTGTACATGCACATATTAAATACAGTACGCTGTTTCCTAGATATCACAGGAAATGTATGAACGTTGGTACATAGCCTATAAATATTATTATGTATATTATCCATCTCGGTATATGTATAGTTCTATACAAGTCCAAGTTCAATGCTGATCCTTGTAATGATAACGTAGAATAATTTTCTAGAGGTGAACAGTATTCATCAACCGGCTTATTGTAATTGGCATTTGTCTTTGGTTTAGAATGTAGGTATGAACCCTTTTTGATTTATTTATCGTAAAGTTTAAAAAAAAATGTTATTTATCGTAAAGTTTAATGGAGACTAACGAACGGTAAATTCAATTTTATTTGTATAGATTAACCGAAATCAGAACAGACTCAGAACTCCCTTATAATTTTTATTTCTTTATTTTTTTAGACCCATTACTGACTTTATTTTATTAGTCTATAAAATAGGTACACAACTGAGATAAAAATAGTACCTACGTACCTGCCTTGACTTTGGGAAACTGTTTTTCAAACCATAACACGTAAATTAATTTATGGGTTCAAAAACCGATTTTACCTGCCATCAAAAAACCCCCAAAATAGACCTTCACAATATTTTACAAAAACAGGTACCTACTTACTACAATGCGTGTTAGTTGCTATAATTAATTAAAAAAACAAAACAAGAATTACCTACTTGAATAATTAGATATTGCAACATGATTTTTTCTCATAAAACTACAGAGAAAAAAGGTGTTCTTTCTGACAGCTGCGTATATTTGCTTTTTAATCTGTGGCAAATGTATTTTAACATACAGCCTAGGTAAAACAAGCACCTGGTTTGCTGATGTGCTATCCTTTACCACGTTAAAACAAATAGAAACTTTGTCTAAATAAAATAAGGTTTCTTTTTACTTAAAGTGACTCAAAGTCCTTCTAAGTTTATACTATTTTAATCCCATCTTGTTTGAATCGAGCGATTAATATCGCGGCTAAAAATAAAGCTAGTTAGGAATGCTGTGTGCCAACTGCCAACTGACAGA